GAAATAGATAGAAAAATTTCCCTCCCACCGGCTTCAAATTTCCCTCCACCAATAGAAAATTTGGTTTTTTTTTTTTAATCTGAGAATATATTTTGGTGAAGTTAAATGACCGAAAAACATTGAAAGTTTTCCAGTTTCCCTCTCATTTGGAAATATGGCTCGGTCAAGCTACTTGACCGAAAAATGCAGTAAATTTTCACAAAATCCACCATATATTTCGGTCAATACAATTAACCGAATAATTAGTGAATTCCCCAAATTTTGCAATATATTTCGGTCAATGAAATTGACCAAAACAATTAGTAAATTTTAGCAAAATCTGCAATATACTTCAGTAAAAAAAATGACCGAAATAATCAGCCTTATTTCACCAAAATCTGCAAATATATTTTGGTCAAATTGTTTGACCGAAATATGCAGGAAATTTTCATTAAATTTTTGCATGTTGTTCGGTCAATAAAATTGACCGAAATAGTTAACTCAAATACTAGAAATAACCCTCGCTCTAATTCGGCCAAATTGCTTGTCCGAATGTAATAGTTAATAACTGACTTTTTTAAGGATTTTTTCGGTCAATTATATTAACCAAATTGATGAAATATTTTGGTCAAGCTAAAATTTTCTCCGAAATACTATTTCATACAGAGGATATTCGGGCCAACAATTCAGTTAATTTACTTGACCAAAATATTGTTTATTCGGTTATAATGTGATCTTTTTCGGTCATTATGCTTGACTGAAAAAAAGTCTAATTCTAGTAGTGGAAGTCGATGAAAGCTATATATATTTTCTAGGCAAAAGGTGCAGATCACCCCCTAAACTCAACAACTGGTGGCAAATCACCCCCCTCAACTCACTTAACGTGCAAATCAACCCCTCAACTCACTTGCAATGGCAAATCAACCCTTCTCTTAATGCTTCTGTTTACATTTAACAATCCACTCATCAGCCTTTGCTTTGTGTCTGACGTGGCCTTTTTTTGCTAGGATGGATGCTGAGGTGGAGGCACACCTAGACAATCACCTCAAAATCAACAAATTAAACAAAATTCTTGGCAGGATAGCGAATGGTTTGCAAAATCCATAAGGCGCGAGAAATTGGGACTTTTTTTGGGGTTAACAAAAAGATTACAAGTTTGATTTACAAGGCAAAACTGTAAAGACCCAAAGAAAGTACACGGACACATGCTTTTGAAGAATTCTTTGAAAGATTTTGAAAATCACAACTTTTGAAGGCAATCGGTGTGGATGTTGAAGCATTGATCTTGTTGTTACTTTGGCAAATTTCAATATTTTTTCATGGTAAGCATCACCTTATGGAATATTTACATGGATTTGCTTTGAAAAGTGGACAATTCCGTTTTGTCATTGATCCATGGTTTAACAATTCAAAAGTGTATTCTTTTTTACATTTACAATTACATGTTTGTTGTGTGGTCCCAAGCTTCTTGTTTGTTTTGAACATAAACTAGCCAGTAGTCCCACATGCTGCTTAAATTATGTGTTTCCACATGCTTCTTGTTTGTTTTTTTTTTTTTTTCCATTTGTCTTTACATGTTTGTACAATTTTTATACCTACAGGCTAAATACACCGGAGTGATGACCATTTATCATGGGGAACTTTTGAGCTTGGCCCACCCATTGATTATGTTGGTTGTAAGTTGTCTTCATTTGGTGTGCATGAAGAAAAAAGTTTCGGTGGCAGAAATAATTAGTATGCTGCGTGGGTTAGGATATGAAAATGTTTTTGCCAATTCCATCCATTACAAGTCCCCTCTTCTTAAATTAGATGAATTGAAGTCACTTGCCCATCCGGGTTGCATTGATGACATTGTTAGTATTATTTGGAAAACTTGTGAAGTAGAGTTATATATTGACCATGACAGTGGGGGTCATAATTTTGTTGATAAGTTAGTTGGTGATGTGCATGGATTTGGTAAAGGTATTAATGAGATAATAAATGAAGATGCAGGGGCCATTACCCAAGATGCCAATGAAATTCCTGCACCTATAGAACACCATTCTAATTTTGCAACTCATGCATATACTGATGACTCTATTAATGACTGTACTAATGAAGAAAAAGAAAATGAGTCAAAGTTGGAAGATGATTTTGCTAGTCCTGTTGGAACTAATAGAGATGATGAGGAATGTGTTGTTGTTTTTAATAAAGCTAAATCATTATTAATAAGTACAAGGGTTGTAAATCTAGTTGAGCATAAAGGTGAAAAGCAAAGAGTTATTGAGGAGCATGGAGAAGGTGAGAAGCAACAAGTGGGAACCGGAGCAACTTATAATCCTTCTATTGATGCATTAACTTTTAATCCCTCTACAGAAGCAGCAACTTCTAATATTTCTAATGTTGATAAGGAGAGGGCAAGGAAGGCAAGAGCAGCTGCTCTTAGTAGGAGGTACAAGACTCTTTATATTGCTAAGGTTGCTGTTAAGGGTCAAGCTACCTCTACTTTCACTGACCATGTGTTGCAATCTCAATTACTTATTGATAATCATCAATATTTTGATGAGGAAGATAAAGACAATGAAGGGAGAAATAGTGATGATCCAAGCTGCTTGTACTTGGATCCCTCTTCTGAAGAGGAAGATGAATTTCATGTGGCAATTGATTTACCTCCAATGGGACCAACTGACATTTACTTCAATCCAGAGTGAGAAGTTCCTTGGTTTGAAGTAGGAATGAGATTTACAAATGCAAACCAGTTTAGGGATGCCATTAGAAAGTATTCAATTGTGAAAAGGTGTAAGCTAAAGCCTATAAAAAATGAGCCCAATAAATTGAGATACCGTTGTCTAGGTGCAGGTTGTGAATGGGAAATTTTTGTATCAATGGACAATAAAGCTAATTGCATTCGGGTGAAGACATACAAAAAAGAGCATGGCAATTTAAAGACAAGTAAAATTTCTGCCATGACAATGCACGAACTTGCAAAGTATCGGAACAGAAGGATTAGGGAAACTCCTTTCATAGCATGCAAGTTTATTATGGAACAAACATATCCAGAGTTAAGGGTGGCTGTGCATTTTGACAAGTGTGTGAGGGCAAAGAGAATGGTCATGAAAGAGCTACGAGGCAATTTTAAAGATGAGTATGCCATGCTACCTAGTTATGGGGCTTACTTGTCAAGCCTAAATCCTAGTAACACAATTGAAATTGTTAAGGATATGAATGAAAATGGTGAATGTGTCTTCAAAAGAATTTATGTTTGTTTAGGGGTTGTGAAAAAAGGCTGGAAAGATGGATGTAGATATGTGTTAGGGGTGGATGGTTGTTTTTTGAAAGGAGTTTGCAAAGGTGTGTTGTTATCTGCTATTGGCTAAGATGGAAACAATCAAATGTACCCTATGGCTTAGGCCATTGTTGAGGGAGAAAACATCAATTCATGGGAGTGGTTTTTCTGGTTATTAAGGAAAGATTTGGATTTAGACAGTGGTAAAAATTTACCTTAATATCTGATGAGCATGTGGTAAGTTTTGAGCCTACACTAAAGCAAACTGTTTTTCCTCTTTTGAAAACTTGATAAAGTATTAATCATATTTCTTTTTTTTTTTTTATGGAATTAAACATACTAGAGATGCTGTATTTTCTAATTCAAAGCATAGGTATTCTGCTCGTCATATTTATTACAATTTGGCTAAAAGAAGTAATGTTCATAGGACTGATGAGTTCAAAATTGCATTTTGGAACTGTGCAAAATTGACATTTCCAGAAATCTGGAGAGAGAATATGGTGAAACTAAGGGTAGTTTCAGATGAAGGTTATGCTCAATTAATGGAAAAGGATGGTAAGTTTTGGTCTAGAGCATTTTTCCAAAGTCATTCAAAGTGTGATTCTATAGACAATAATATGTAAGAAACATTTAACTCATAAATCCTTAAACCACAATGTAAAGCACCAATTAGCATGATTAGGGAGCTCATAGAGATGTGCATTGAACGATGTAAGGATAAAAAGTTCAGTGCATCTAGATGGCCTACTGATGTGTCCCCTACAGCTCAAGATAGACTTAAACTTCATATGGATCTTTCCCATGCATGTGGTGTGTTATGGCCTAGAGAAACTGATTTTCAAATTGATGATGGGCTGTAGTCATTCACTCATGTAGTTAATTTTCAAGAAAGAACATGCACATGTAGAGTTTGGCAAAGCACTGGTGTTCCTAGCCCACATGCCTTGCATGCCATTAATTATCAAGAGTGGAATCCGGATGACTTTATTGATGTTAGTTTAAAGAGAGAAAAGTACCTGGCAGCTTATGGCCAACCATTGGAATGTAGTAGAGGTGAGGAAGTGTGGAGGCAGTTTGATGGAGAAAAGTTGCTCCCACCTATTATAAAGAGCATGCCCGATATGCCAAAAAAGAATAGGAGAAAGGCAAGGCTTGAGCTTAAGAAGATTAAAAGGGAAAGAAGACCATAATTTCAAAGAAGGGAACAATTGTGATACATTGCAAGATTTGTGGGGGAGAAGGCCATAATATGAAAGGATGTCCAGTGAGGAATAAAGAAGAATATGCACAATTTGTTAAGGAAAGTCAAGGGACAAGTACTGCAACATCTAGCTTTACCAATGCTAAGAAGCTATGTAATACTTCGTTATTTATTAAATTGATGATAATTTCTAGAAATCTAAAGAAAAATTATTCATTGGGAAAATGAACAAAAGTAATTGTGATGGAGGTCAAGGTGCAAATAGTGTTGGTAAGGTAAGTCATTAGATGTTTTGAATTAGTACGGAAAAAAATGTAAATTCTAGTTTCTTATTTATTCTGGTTGTGGTTGGTAAAAAATGCAAATTCTAGTTTCTTATTTATTTTGGTTCTGGTTGGTATTAAATTGATGTGGTTGGTAAAATTGCAATTGTTTTATTTTTACAAGCAAAGAGAAAGAGAGGAAATTTTGAAACAAAACAAAGGGCAAAGAATCAGTGTTAATTGGCACTATAAAAGGATGATTTTGGACAAGATATGAAGTCATATTTTGTTAGGAAAAAATGATTATATTACATTCGTACATTTTGCCTTTTATTAAGAACAGATGATGATGTTTTGTCATAGCCATATAATAGGCATTTTGTGACAGTAGATAATATTTTCTGGTATATTTTCCTATGTAGGTAATATTTTCTAGTATATTTTCCTGTGACAGCAAGCAATGTTAACTTGTATAATTCCATATGACAGTATACAAGAGTGAGCCAATTTTCTCGTATGCTCTATATTTGTTTTAGCATTTGTTTTTTCAGTCCCTGGGGAAGCATATTCTAGCACTTTTTTTATATGACTTTGTCATCCTTCAAGCAATGGACCAAATTGAAGAAATGTGAAACTGAACAGACAATAGTTCTCTAATGCTTCTTATTCTTTTTACTCCTAAACGATCTTTTTGCAACAATGCTATGAATAATGTGTTTTGCATAAAAAAAGGGACATTTAGTAGTAGAAAATCATTTTCTAATTCCAAACATTTGTTTTGCACCAAGGGATAATCTTGATGTTGTTATTTATGATTTCACTTGTGAATGTGTTTAGCAATGTTTCAGTTTAGATTTGTTATTTATGAGATAGATAGATAAACAAGCAAAGAAATTATCTTTGTTATTAAGATAGTTTTTTGTGCTAATTTTTGATCCATAGTGTTTTATCCTTAAGCTTTTTATACATGAAGAATTCAGACTTACAGGTTTCTATTCATTTTTAAAGCTTTAAAGTTGTTGGGGAAAACATCAGGATTTATTGAGCTGGTTCTCTCTGGAGATTCGATGAAGCATATAACTTGTATGTTCACTAGTATAATTTGTCTGTAAAGGCATGTTGCCATCTAGTATTTACTGGTATAATTGACTTTGACAGTTTACTGGTATAATTTACTGGTATAATTTACAGGTTGCCTTTTCTTAATTTGCTTTGACAGTTTGCCTTTTGAATTGTTTCCTGTGACAGATACAATTTCCTGGTATAATGTTCACTATTATTATTTCCATAATCATCGAAAGCAACAGGATATAAACAAAAGTATATTTCCATTGCCAATTTGCAAAATTCAAGGTACAATATGTTCTAATTCTATGGCAGGCAAATTTAACCCTTGATTTCTTATTAAAAATTTTATCATGATGGAAAATAATATTGGTAGTACACAAGAGACAACAATTACACATAGTTTGTCAAAAGCTTTCTTGTTGTCAACCTGTTTCATCAGGGCATTTGTTTTCTTGTCCAAACTGTCAATTGCCTTCAAATGCTTATCCATATCCAACATTTTCTACTCCATGCCTCTAAACTTATCCTCAAAAAACTTAAACATACTCACCATTTTTTGATCCATGCTACCAAAATTATTTTGCATATCCTTCTCCAAACTCTCTATTTTACCCCCCATAACAACCATTTTGTTCACCGAACTAACAAACTCGTCTTCCAAATTTTTTTTCCATAGCCACTAACTTCTTCTCCAAACTATGAATTTTATCTTGCAACCACAGCACTATACTCTTCAACTCTAATGTTATAATTGCAAATTCTAGAATACAATTATCTCTTTTGCTAAACTTAAACACCACAGTCCATAAATGATCCCTCTCATGATTATATGGTACTTTTCTAATGTTAATTGTCGAATAACTTTAATTGCCCTCTTATCAAACACAGGGTCATACCAAATAAAGAAGTCATAACTGTTCTACAAAATTAATTCAATCATTTATTGGTAAATACAACTGACAACCTAAATCAAATTAAAATCAAAGTGAACAATAGTGATTACCTTCTCCTTATACTTTGGGCAACCAAAAAATCTTCTTCCGGCGTTCGCTTCCATCCAGCAAGTCCACCGTGGAGCAAAATGCCTACGCTTGCAGGTTTGTAGAGGACCTTCATACTACCACTCAATATTGCATCTATTCTCAAAATATGGTAATTTCACTAGTGATTCAGAGCTTGACAAAGAAGCCATGCTCGACAATAAAGAGTTCAATTTTTGAAAGGACGAAGAGGGGAAGAAAATGATATAAGCTAGAAAATGAAATAAAACCCTAAATATCCTTAAAATATGGTAATTTCACAGAAGATTTAGCGTTTGACAAAGAACCCATGCTTGATGAATTGCAAATCTTGCTGAAAAAGGTTCAATTTTTAAAAGATGAAGAAGGGAAAAAGATGACAAAAGCTGCCAAACAAAATAAAAGCCTAGATATCCTCAAAATATGGTAACTTGACAAAAGATTCAAAGCTTGACGAAGAACCCCATGCTAGATGAATTGCAGATCTTGCTAAAAAAGGTTCAATTTTTGAAAGGACAAAGAATGGAAGAAGACAAAGATGATTGAAGCTGATCCCTAAATCTGTAAATCTCGAAATCCCTAAATCCTCAATTTTATTCCCTAAACAATTTAAGGGTATAAAAGTAATTTGATTGATCTACTGATTTTGAGGTGATTTGTCCAGGTGTGCCTCCACCTCAGCATCCATCTTAGCAAAAAAAGGCCACGTCAAGCACAGAGGAAGGGCTGATGAGCAAACTATTAAATGTTAACGGAAGCGTTATGAGAGGGGTTGATTTGCCACTACAGATGAGTTGAGGGGTTGGTTTATGTGTGAAGTGACTTGAGGGGGTGATTTGCCATCAGATGTTGAGTTTAGGGGGTGATATGCACCTTTTGCCTAATTTCTATTTGTTATATGGATACTGTTAATATTTCAGCTAAGATAATTAGACTGATCAACAGCTTATTTATTTTTTTATATTAAATGATAACTTATATTATAAGATATAACTTTTGTCTTTAAAATTTTTTTTTATCTATTCCACACCTTAAATTTAAAATTTGTAATATAAAAATTTTAATTTTTAATTA